CCAGAGAGAGCGACAGTGCTGAGGATCGCCTCAGAGCTAGAGCCCGTGACGTCAGACCAGGTGAGTGAGCCGGCTACAGAGCTCGCCACAGGGGAGAGCATCAAGGATAGCGAGAGCACTGAGTGAAACGCTGCCCACTGCACCATGGCTGAGGGTGTGCTGAGCTCAATGGACTGTAATTGGGATATATATGCAGACATGCCCCCTCTTCTCCCGCCTTCGTCTAAACTCTCTGCCTGCCCTGAACCCTCTGTCAGTCTTGTTTCGGATTTTGAACTCTCTGCCTGCCCTGAATTATCTTGTGCCCTGAACTGTCTGCCAATGGGACAGCGACCACGGAGGTCGTTCCCCTGTCCGCTACGCTCCCAGTGTTGGGAGTCGCTATCTGGTGTGTGTGGTCAGCACACACCATCCTTGAAAAAACTGGGGCTCACAAATTCCCACCCACCCTCCCTCTCCTGCTCTCGTCTTGCCCTGTTCGGATACTGTTTGCCCCTGCCTGGACCTTTGCCTTGTACCTGGATTATCTCTCTAGTCTAGCCCTGTTGGATGACGTTCGTCATCGACTGACCCTCACTTGTTTACCGGACTGCTCTTGCCTTGTCTTCTACATACCAGTTTGCCATTGTCTGACCTATGCCTGTTTCTGACCACGTCTTCTAAATAAAGCTTGCAAATGGATCTGCACGTCTCATTCGTCCCGTAACACTTTTTGTTGATCAAGAAGGTAAATTAAAATATTTAGGAAGACATCTGCAATGTTTACTCAATTTTCTCCCAGTGTAACTTAATGTACAGCTAACCCTCCCACTGCCACATTCAAGGTCTGAGTCAATGCCATGCACAGGGTGCTGTGGACGCCTGAGTCTGTCTCAAAGTCGAATACGCAGTTGCTCTATACTTTTATAATAAAGTTATTTATCGTGGAAAGACCAATGAATTTTGTGTTACCATGTGTGCTAAAGTTCAATTAGAAGCATGAGATCGTTTAAAAGCAGGAGATCACTGCAAAAACTATAGCCTAGATACAGATACAGCATATTTTGGCCAGGGCTGGGCAAAAAAAAAAAAGATTTTCCGATTAATTGCACACTTACAATGATACAATCATTTAATGCTTATTTGTGTAACAGATGCCACCCAAGGAAACAGGTGGTGTTTAGCAAAACTGACGAAACGAAGACATTCACTGATTATAAAACATGCATTGCCCACAACAGTATACACTGTGTTCTTGTACTCCTTTTCAACCATTAAAACAGTGTTTCAAGAATAAGAAAAGGAGGAAAAAAGGAGCCCGGTCCCATGAAAATGCGTATAAATAGTACGCCAAATAAAAACAAAAACTGCGGTATTGATATGCAAAAATTTACTTTGGCGTGCATATGATACGCACGTGTTTTTAGCGTGCATATAATGCGCAGTTTTCGCATGCATATGATACGAAATTTGTTGGCGTGCATATGATACGCAGTTTTCGTGTACATATGATACCATCTACCCCACAACCCTAATCCTATCCATTGCGTAGCATATACACGCCAAAGTCAATTTTTGCGTATCAATACCACTCGTTTTTGTTTTTATTTGGCATACTATTTATACGCACTTTCATGAGATCAGGTATAAAAAAAGACAACAGCCAGCACAAAGAAAGATTCACGAGTTCACACTTGCATATCATAAACAGAGTAAAAGTTACGCGTGTTTGGCGTGCTGTCCGGGGAGAGGGCTCCGAGCTCGGTAATTCTTCCCGAACCCAGAGCACTCCCCCCTTGGGTTGGTGGAGGCAGGGCCATGCACACACCTTTTGAGGGATAACTGTCCTAAACCTATCTATTACTGCGATGCAACTGCAAGCCAACTTTTATTAGACATGAGTGTGTTGATTTTTTTTTTTCTTCTTTTTAATAAAGAACTTGTTGGCGCTAACAACACCACTTATGATCAATTTACATGCAAGTGGGAGCTTAACATTGATTTACACACTAACTTCTTCTCCTTAACACGACGGTTTTGGAACCAGATGGTCACCTGGCGTTCCGAGAGATTGGTTGCGGCGGAGATACGCCTTCTCATGTCTTTGGTGATGAACATGCTGGCAGCGTACTCTTTTTCCAGCTCCTTTAATTGAATTTTATTGTAAGGTACTCTCTTCTTACGACCGCGAGGGAACCCATTAATCTCGATCTGGTGTGGCACCACATCTGCAAAAATGGTTCAAGACGGGAAGAACATATCTTAGAAATCACATGATTTACTTAAGACTACTTTTCAAGTCACTGGTAATAATGTCTTGTGACTCTCAAATAGACTCTAAATAACTGGTGAATTAAACTGCTACCACAGTTCTGACCAATATTTTATTTTACTCCTCTTATACACACATATTTTTAGAGTTAAGGTAAATATTTCATTGACTTGCAGTATATGAGATTTTATATATGTGACCCCCCAGATAGCACACATACGTCTGTAAGATGTCTGTTAAAGATCACTTCATATGGAAAGCATCTGCTGTGTACAAACATCTGATAGACGTCTGTAAGATGTCAGTTTTACATACATTCTCAATCATAAACATCTTAAAGACATTTTCTAAACATCTATTTGACATCTGATAGGAAACGTCCAATAGACGTATTGCAGATGAGCAAACACTCTAAAAAATACCTCTTATAAATGCAGACGTCAAATGGACATCTCCGTGATGTACATGTGCTATCAGGGCCTGGACCACAAAACCAGTCATAAGGGTCAATTTTTCGAAATTGAGATTTATACGTCAACTGAAAGCTCAATAAATAAGCTTTCCATTGATGTATGGTTTGTTAGGATAGGACAATATTTGGCTGAGATACAACTATTTGAAAGTAATTATATTGTACTCTCTCTCTATATATATATATATATATATATATATATAGTCGTTGGTATAAGGAAATTAGAAATTATTTGTTCTGAAGGAATATTTTCACATTTGGAACATATTGGTTAATGCCGGGAAATTATAAAAAAAAAAAAAAAAATTAATAGACTTCGTTCTTTTTTGCTTCCCATGAGGACTAAAGTTTTACTTTTAGAAATAAAAACGAAATAAGTTTATATGATAGATTTCAAAGAACATCTCAAATCATGTTTACTTGTGTTAATTTTAACTATTTTATTCTGTTTCCTCACTATATTGTATTTATAAAGATAGCACACATACGTCTGCAAGATGTCTATTAAAGATTGCTTGATCTGGAAAGCATCTGCTGTGTACAAACATCTGATAGACGTCTGTAAGATGTCAGTTTTACATACATTCTCAATCATAAACATCTTAAAGACATTTTCTAAACATCTATTTGACATCTGATAGGAAACGTCCAATAGACGTATTGCAGATGAGCAAACACTCTAAAAAATACCTCTTATAAATGCAGACGTCAAATGGACATCTCCGTGATGTACATGTGCTATCAGGGCCTGGACCACAAAACCAGTCATAAGGGTCAATTTTTCGAAATTGAGATTTATACGTCAACTGAAAGCTCAATAAATAAGCTTTCCATTGATGTATGGTTTGTTAGGATAGGACAATATTTGGCTGAGATACAACTATTTGAAAATCTGGAATCTGAGGGTGCAAAAAAATCTAAATATTGAGAAAATCGCATTTAAAGTTGTCCAAATGAAGTTCTTAGCAATGCATATTACTAATCAAAAATAAAGTTTTAATATATTTACAGTAGGAAATTGACAAAATATCTTCATGGAACATGATCTATACTTAATATCCTAATGATTTTTGGCATAAAAGACAAATC